AACTCTCCTAACTTTTTATCTAAATAAGAAGTACCTGAAATATACCGGAACTTTGTTAAGACTAGTGTTCTTGAGTTGGCATTAAATGCAGACGAATATAGGATTAATGTAACTAAAATCAGTAAATCAGTCCAACACCTCACACACTTCGATAGACACGCGCATACGATGTAGCGAGACCGTGAGTGGGATCTGGTGGCCGTGGTTGAAACTCCCTCCAGGCAAATGGCAATATAACAACATTGATTGCGAGTTAATTTCTTTTAAGCAGCGTTGATTGAACGTTATTTTAACTCCAGATACCTGGTGGATAGCATTGAACAATGCAGGCTGTATCGGATCTCACAAACGGCAGGAACACAGCAGCTTCAGCGCCGAAGAGAAGCGGGTGCTTGTGTATACTACTTAACTAGTATACAAGTGTATGCTAGTAAACTAGTATACACTTGTATACTAGTTTACTAGTATACAAGTGTATGCTAGTAAACTAGTATACAAGTGTATACTAGTTAACTAGTATACAAGTGTATACTAGTAAACTAGTATACAAGTGTATACTAGTTTTCATGAAAGCTCATTGTGATGAGGCAAGCCTAAATCCAGATAATTTCTTTAATACCTCATACCCAATTATTTTTATTCTCTCGCATTTATTTTGCCAATATAAACATAAATTTTCAGCAGCTCTTGCAAATTGGTAAATTGTCGCCAGGAACACGTATATATAATTGCTCAATCAAGGATCCACTTTATATGATCCTAACAGTTATGTTTTGGCGGTTCACATAAAAGTTTAAACTTTTTTACTTTTAGCAATAACATTCCAGTTCATTCTTCCAACATAAATTTACATTGACTATAAGTGGTTCAAATTCACAAAGGGAAATTGGTATACTCTCATAGGTGCAATTGTTCCTCAATTCAAAGTATGGATTACATCATAGAGAGAAACTAGTGCCATCATAATAACCTTTATTGCTATTTTTTCTAGTTGCAATTGGGCAGTAACGATTGCTTAAAACCATATAGAGAAAACTCGCCTATAGCAATCAAAATTCTTTAAAAATAACAACATGTAACCAATGTTTAACAGCATAAACTGCACCTTTATCTTTTCAAAAACAATTCAATGCGTTAAATTTCAAACGACTTGAAAATGTTATTTAAAGAATCATTCATTCAACATTCCCGATAAAAATCGTTGTTGATTATACATTTACTTTTTTGTTTGTTGAACTTATATGTGCGTATCAATGAAGCTATACAAACTTAGATTAACACAGAGCTTAAATTTCGATATATCTACAAAAAATAGATAATTTTCATCCGTAAAGAATAACATTTCACACAGAACTTTGTTTAGGTTATGAAGTCTTCTTTGCTATTTGTAGGAATATTGCGAGAATTTTTTTGAGGCTTTGAATTCCGATAAATAAAAAAAAGTAAAATATTCAACACGAACCATGTACTAAATATATTTTATTATTACTCACATGAATATAACAATAAATTAGTTTCAACGGAAAATATCTTAACAGCGATCCTACCAACATACAAGAGTGTTTGGCAGTAGCGCAGGATATTGTGTAAGCCTTGTGTCCTGCCAAGGCCATGAGGTGCTCAGGGCGTTTTTCAGTCTATATGTAAAGTAGTTTACAGTTGCATTTTAAAACATTTCAACCGATCTTCCAGGATCTATTGTAAACTTCCAAAGGTTTCTCAGAATTTTTGCAGATATTTGAGGGCCTTACGCAATTGAATAAAAATATTGAGATATCGGGTTGTTTTTTTAGTTATTTTGGACACGTTTGTCATTTTTTCTACAATTCCTTGAATTTTTTGCAGACACCAGGTCATGTCGTCATGTCGTCATGAATGTACAGTTCAGTTTAAAATCATTAATGACAATGCTTCATTGTTATCACGAATATACGAGATCTTATGAACTGCTGGTTCAATTATAATTGAAAGAGTTTACTGCAGCTGTTTGGTTCGTTTCGTAACGGTCCAAGCAGTACAAGTGTTCTACCACCTGCCGTTCCTTATCAATCAAGTAAACTAGAATATCTTTCTCTTGCATCCGCTTCTAGTCAACAAGCTCTCTGCTTAACTGAACAAAAATTCGTTCATATCTGCAACTGGATTTTACTACAAGTTTATTTAGATCAGAAATTTTTTAGCTAAATTTTTATTTAGCGTCGACGATGAAAGGGTCCAATTAAAATTCGAAATTGACCAATTTACTTCCAATTGCTAATTTCTAACATAGAGTAGCCAATACAGACTCATCGTCACGCGTCTAAGAGGCGTTTTTTTGGGGCTAATGAAACAATAGTGAACAAAAAACAGAAGTTGTAATATTGTAAGGCAAGTATTGCTATCACCATCATAATTTTTAAAAGTCCCGTATTCACATGACATGACCTAGCCAAGCACACAATAATGTAAATAGTACAAATAAATCTTAGGCCGTAACACTGTCTAGACGACAGATCAAGTCAGGACGCGCGTTCTAGATCCCCACAACTGTTGCAGGGATAAGCGCCGGACTCTATGCCGGCCCGACCAATAGCTTGTGCAACGACAAGTGCTTAGGGGTAACTTTGATGATATTAAAGAATAAAAGCACCTCCCACATGGGAAGCAATAAACTCATAGTTATATAACGAATAACTAATTTCAATGACCGATATATCCAATTGACTCTTTGCAATAAACGATAAATCTAGTCCAACACATGCATAGACAAAATGAGTAACAACATTACATGAACGGGGTCAGAGTTCATAAGATATAATAAAATAACAGAATGTCATAAACCAGAATCGGAATGGATCTAAATACTCATAACGTAAAATTATTGTAAAGATTCATAAAACTGTATAACAACATTATAAATTCTAACTTTTGACTATCACATTATGGAAAACAAAACATTATTGCACCGCAGCCACCAAAAGGCAAGGTTAACATTAATGGATGACCTCTCGCGGTACGTTATATATATCCAGGTTAAAGTAAGCTGGCATGGAAGATATTTACTTTTAAAATGGCGCAGTAAACAAAAGAATAATTGACGCAGGCCACCCGGACATCATAGCAACATCTAGGTCGCAGGAAACCTCGATGTTTTCATCAGGATGCGCCGTAGAACTCAAACTTGTTTGAAAACACGCGGCTGCTACAAGCGTCTTGATGTTCTGTATTAATAAAACTGTCTTAACTCGCACGTGTCCCAGACGCCATCGAATCGAATGTGCGTGCAATGTGTGGCAAAATATTTTGTAAAATTTCGTTTAATTATTTGATGATGTTATGGAAAGCGTGCAATTAAAAATATACATAGCTAACTAAAGTAACTCAATAGCCCCGGGCTAAGAGGCACAATACGGCATCATTTCCAATTCATATAATGAATCCTGATAAAATCTACTTATATTTCAACAGAAATGCTATGTTCTGCTATTCTTCGTGTATTACACTCAGTTCAAAATGTTATTCTACTGATTTTCCATACGGGAGATGAATAATTATCGCTGCTGTTGTCCAACAATAGAGCAGAGCGACGCTCGCTTGCGGCTATACTGTTGCCGGGCGTAACTAAATCAATGCAACGAATTCTCCTCTGAACGTGGGTATGCAATTTAGTTGTTTGTTACTTTCAATCGGACGCATGATTAATTTGTAATAAATTTAAATGTATTGGATATTTGAGTCGCTTATTAAGATTAGTTATTAATATAACCGCTAGTTGTAGGTAACTCCGCTATATTCGGTTGTTTAAGAAGATTTCTAAATGTCATTTTACGTTGCATTCAAGTTCTCGAAAATGGCATTTTCCATTGAATGTGTAGCACTTACAACTAAGTAACTGTAACTGTAAAACTCACAACTAAGTTACTGTAACACGAAGCCTAGCATTAGTGATCGTATTAAAATTATATTTTTATATACCAAAACTGATAATATGCTTCCAAATTGAATGATTTGTATGACTAGTCATTCATGTAAAAATCTATTACATTCACTTGTAAATGCAATAGATCTTATTAATGGCTGTTGCTTAAGCAAGTAAACTCTAACAATAGATATACAAAACAATTGCAAAACATCGAATCATACGACTAACTTATTTCTCACCAAAAGTCAATTCCTCATTGTATGCAGTGAAAAAATTACTACTGTTTTGGTGAGTCCAGGCCTTGGGGAATTCATACGAACAGGAAAAATTTTTGAATGCGCCAAGAAATATTTCAAGGAAAATTTCAGTGACGCCAGGCCTCGGCACCTCACGTCTTGGGGGGAAAATTTACCGAAAGAAATTTAAAAAAAAATTTAAATTGAAAATTTTCTTTTTAAATTAAAATTTAATTTTAAAATAAAATTTACCCTGCCCAGAGGCCATAAGCGCTTTTCTTTTTAGCACATTTTCTCATTTATGAAAAAATGCACTATTGTGCTCGCCATGTCCGTCTGTCCGTCCGTCTGTCCGTCTGTCTGTCCATCTGTCTGTCCGTCTGTCTGTCTGTCTGTCTGTCCGTCCGTGATTTCATGTTTTCGTCGACGAGAAAATGCGCTCTCTGTCACTCACTGCAGTGAGTACTGAGTAATATTTTTTAACATATTATCTAAGTTTTTTTTCTAACTCGGACGTATTGTTTCGTTATAATATTTCCTCTGTGTTAGGTAATTCAATTAGTACAACTTGCTGTATTTTATTTACAAAAAAGTCGATATATTTTGGTACGATTTTTCAGGGAGTTGACAAAACATTATATATTCAATTAAATGCATAACCAAGTGAAGAATGACCCTATTTTTTTGATAGTTTCAGTGTTAATAGATTAAAATGAATTTTTACTCGCACGTTTACCCCCGTAATAGCCTCTAATTATTAATCTCTGATATCAGTGAAATACACACCGGGCGCGCGGATCTGTCTGCCCAGTCCGCATTTGCTGCTTGGTCGGTCCGACTCCGTCAGTCAGTCAAGCCTCAGCTGTGGTGGTGATAGGTTGTGCCTCCCGGGTCCTGAGGCCACATAGCTTGTGGTGTTGTGAGTGGTGCATTTTAGCAAGCGTGTCGACTGGATTGTGGTGCTAGTGAAGCGATATAAGTTGTGTCGCTATAAGTTCATTCATTGAACCTTGTGGAAAAGCCTGTGTCTTTTTATAATTATATTCTACGGTGTTTACTACGGTCTATTTCTGTCACTTCTTCCCTTTCCTTAGTGAGTATTTTTACGAATGTTTTGATTATAATAATTCCACATTATCGCTTTACTATTTATTATAAAAGTAAAGTGTTCATCATCAAAGTAATCATCATCCTTCCAACTTGTTCAGTAAAATGAAATTTGGCGAATGTCTCGAACGCTATTTTGAGGGATAAGCTATCATGCCATACTGTCAACCAATCAATTATTGGCTCACTATCTTATTATATTCTATAGTGATCCAGTTACTGGCTCACTATCTTATTATAATCTATAGTGATCTAGTTACTGGCTCACCATCTTATTATATTCTATAGTGATCTAGTTACTGGCTCACCATCTTATTATATTCTATAGTGATCTAGTTACTGGCTCACCATCTTATTACAATCTATGGTGATCTGGTGACCCATAAGTACAGCATACAGTGCATCAGTAACATTATTATTATTCTTCATGTTTAATTAGTCAAGCGAGAAGCAAGATTAGCACCACGTGCGTCATGTTCTCGATCGAGGAAAATCATGTTTATTCTAATCCTGACGTTAATCCTGCAATTAATGGGAGCAGACTGTAATCTGAAGTATAAGACGTGTTTCCTGAATTATTAGTTTCAGCAGTAGAAGAAATTGTTGCAGTTTATTAAAGATTATAGAGATTAAATGCAGTATAATATTTTGTTTCAGTTAAATGGCCATTATTAACGAATTTTCTCTTACAATGGCTTATAATTCGACCGAAAAAGTTTTTTTCCTGGTGCCATAAATTTTTAAATAATTGCGCAGAGCAAAAAGGTAGGACCAAGCCATACACTTTAAAGATAATAAGATTAGTACGTAAACTGCTCACTGAAGTTTAAGGAGAGCGCAGTCGAAGACATGTGCTGGACGCGTGTCCCTATTGCCTAGATCCTATAGATATTGACAAGTTTTTCCGCTATATTATCCCATTCAAAATGTCAACCAAAAATGCAATAGATGTCTTTGAATGAGATTTATCAACTCGTCACTAAGTTGTACTTTTCTAACTTAGTCGCATCGGTTTTTAGCAAGATTCTGAACGAAAAATTCGTACAAAATTTAGACCAAATTTTAACTTTAATTCAGCTCATTGATATTCGTACGTATTGATATTTCCTGCACACGCGTCTTATAATAATAGAACGCACGCGAACTAATGCACGCGCTCAAAACCTCTTTTAAACGATGTTGTTTAATTTATTTTATATATAAAATAATGAATACTGGTTTAAGCATTAATTTATCAAACTTTGCATTGTGTAATATAAGCTATAATGAATAGAATTTAAAATATGTCAAAAAGTTTAATTTTTCAGGTTATCCCTGTTAAAATATATTTGTTTTCATTGTGCAGTCATCTGAAAAAAAATGAATCAAGTGCAGCAGTACGCACCATCTTCGCTCCCCTCCCTCCCTCTCTCCCCCACCACGGATGTCCCCCAAGGGCTACCCCCTCCCCCAAGACTCAAACCAACCTTGGACCTCACGCCGCAGGCAACCACGGCCGTGCGCGGCGGCGCTGACAAAGATGACGTAGTTCAAGCTGTTCCTAACGCTGCTATTTTTAATACATTGATAATAAACAATAATAATAATAATGGAGCTTCTACTCCCTCGACACCCACGTCACCCGACGTGCCAGTTAATCTCGTGAACGCAGGAGGCGGTAGAGCGCAGGGCTCGACCCAGCCTTACCTGCTCGCCAGCCGCTACCTCGTCACGCGCGCCCTAGACTCGGCCACTTCAGAGGCTGTGCATTTACCTTCACGTACTTCTCTTATTGTTAAGGTCAGTTCAATGCTTTACTTGGTTTATTTAGTTTTTATTGGTATTTTTTAGAAATACGACGCATTTTGGTTCCGCAACAAATTTTCCTTCGTTGTTATGGTTGAAATATTTTGTGCAGAAATGGAATAGTTGTGTGAAATCATCTCTGGCCAAGCTGAAATACCATTTACGGATGACAACAGCCTCTTGAAATGTGATAACTTCAGTATTTATAATTGTTTTATTTAACAAATATCACAAACAAATTAAATATTCATGTTCATTCTAAAGCATTCAAGTATTAAATGGAATATTTGTTTTTTTTTTTTTTGTTGCAGTGCTTACCAACACGCACAGCCATGGAGGTGTGTAGTCAACACGCAATCTTGGGCGAGGCTGAGGGCATTCGTCCTCCCTTAGAATTAATTGAAGGCAATGAAGGCAGGTCGTGGCTCGTGATCGCACCACATTTCGGTGATCTTCATTCCTACGTGCGTAGCAGGAAAAGAATAAGAGAAGTAGAAGCTCAGAGACTCTTCAGTCAAGTTGCCCGCGTAGTAGAACAATGTCACCGCGCCGGACTGGTGCTACGCGACCTTAAACTACGGAAATTCGTCTTTACTGATGCTAACAGGTAAGTTAGAAATTAAGTATTTTACAGTTTATTATCATTTTAGTTGTCATTAATTTTTGTCTTTATTTTGTCTTTTTATTTATGTCATAAAAAATTTGTCTTTACTGATGCTAACAGGTAAATTAGAAATTGAGTGTTTTAAAGTTTATTATCTTTTTAGTTGTCTTAATTTTTAAGGAGATTTTTGGCATTTAGGTTGTTGCCACAGGTGTTCATAATTTTGTACTCCTTTGAGTATTTCTTAGCGAAAGCATGTCAGCAAGCGAAAATTATTACTGCTCGTTACTGAACTCCATTAAATTTAACTTTTTTCTTGATATTAATTTCGTTCTCTCCTCGAAAGTTAGAATGACAGACTTGATTAGTACCTTAATAGCCGTCATAATCTTAATTTGTACGATCACTGTCAGAAATTTTTCTTACAGAGTACAAGATCTTATAAAATTATTTCGAACCTATTTGAGAAGTCCTCTCTGAAAATTCATCTTTTGATTGCCAAAGTATCGAACAAACTCATGGTAATTGGTAGCGCCGCCGCATCTACTAAACCCGGACGCATCAGAGAATGAATTCGGTGGCCATCCTAGAAAGTGAACGTCACTTGGAGTTGCTGTCTGATTGCCTCATCCTTTGTTGCTGGAAATCTGGCTTGCTTAATCAAACGAAACCTATTAGGTAGCTAATTATTATAACGTTTCAAAGTTGCTTTGAATAAATGTTAGATAATGAAGCGTTCTTTGATAACAATTATGTCAGAGGCCGGTGTTTGGTGAAAGATATCGGATCATTTTCAGATGCCAGAACCAATTAGCATTGTTCGCATCTGAGAGAGTCGGCCATGTAAGTTCTCTAAATGTTTATATTAATAAAAATGAAAAAATTATTAGACAATTTATTTCGTTTTCGATAAAATCGACAGTTCAGATTTAAAAGCCCATTAATGTAATTTAATTTAAAATGTAATTGCTAAAATACCGGTATTCGATTTCCACCATATGTAGCCAATCTCGCTTGATTTATCAAAATTTAGAAACAAAAATTAAAGATTCAGTTCTCACATGGTCAAAAAATTCCACATATTGTCAACCCTTTTAAAATGAAGCCAGCTGCCTCCTATTATTTTTCCACCAAATTTTCAGCGTCTTTCCAAGACTCGCGGGAATTTTCGTGTCGCAATTCGACGGGACAGGAAGACGTGTTAACGTAATTGTTTCCTAGATTTCCGCTGTTCCAGTGCACCGTTCCTTGAAATTATTAGTCCTCGTCAACTACCATTTCTTGCTGGCCTTTGCTCCAGATGGTTCAAGCTACTGATTCAATTGTGTGCTGGATGGCGTGGAGGGAATGGTTTTGAAATTATATCAGAGGAGTATGGCATTTAGTGACTTGTAAAAATTCAAATGTGATCTAGCAATAATTTCTAACAGAATTTTTCTAAGTGTTAGGTGGTGAGGTGTAATTATAGTATTTTTATGCTCCACTTATGAGTGTTGTGTTATCAGCTGTGCTCGAAGCAGACTTCATTATCTTGATAAGAATGCAGTGGTGCTGTTCTATGCATTGCCGTTGCGAGGCTTATCGTTCACTCAAGAATTACATATCATTCCATTCACTGCATTGCAGATTTTCTGAACTTCTATTAGTGTTGTAATAAACAAATGTGGAGAGAAAGTGCATTTTTGTTTGCATTATTTTTATCTTGAGAAATGACTGTGGAGTAGAAGTAATTTATTCGTGTCCCACCACAGTTTCTAAACTTGCATTTCATTCGCGTCATTAATCTTCATTTGTCGCGGACGGAATGTTTTAAGGAGGATGACCTTAATTTAAAGAATATTTTTACATTAACCAGCTTCTGAATGTATATTTCATTTATATGTAAAGAATTTATTTGAAGCTTTGTAACCAATTTGCAAATTTGTCTCCCACTGACAACGGCAAATCCTGCCGATGAAAAAAACTGATCCTATACAAGTCATTTCATGTTACAGGTGTACTATCACAAAACTCTGCGAAAAGTCTTACATAATAGCTGAATATTATTAATTAAGTGTAGGCGTGCTAAAGCTCATGGTGATGAGCTGTGTCAGCGCTGCAGTTGAAAGTAACACCTTTCCACCCATACTCGCTATTCAGTTGAAAGTGAATTGAGCTTCAACATACGAATGCGTGTTGGCAGAACTTGCATCGAGAGAAAGGCTCGCGACTTTCAGCTGTGTGCGGTGTCTCGATCTCTGCCTGGCGCTCTCCAAAATCGTCTTGATCACCTGGATGGTTCAAAGCTTAAAATTTTCTCTTACAAACTTTGTTCTTGGTTTATTCCTGAAAATGGACTTCACGAATGAAGTTTAAGACTTGAAAATCATTTCAGCCGTGATAATTAGCGCCCATTACATGTCCTGCAGTATCAAGTCAGAGGACGTTATCTGTATCGGTTCAAGGGCAACTTGGGTTTAAATTTCTCATTTAGTGTAAGTTAATATAATAATATCTGTTTGTAGTTGCCAAAAATTTTCGTTTTCTCGTGACGGAGTTTCGTTGATCTCACGATAATTGAGCGCGATAGAAAATCCATCGAGTGTCAACGCCTATTCCAATGCCCCGTCTGACATTAAAAATATAAGATAATGACTAGACTGTGACACCATCTATGTGTGTTTTTTCCACGTATTCATTTTTGCGCGGGATGTAGCACATTTGAACGATCGCATTATTTTTAGGAGCGTCGAGCGTGCCGCGCGATGCATATATCGTTTAAATTAACACGCATCGAATTCTCACCATAAATAAAAACGGTTTCATTTCGAACAACCTGGAATGAAATTTTCATATTCTTTGAATGGCAGCTAAATTATTTCTCGTTCCTTGATGTATAAATTTTATCTACTGATATATTTCTGTTACTATTTTATTCTTAATATTACCTCGTGACTATATGTCTTAAAGTCAGCCAGAAGTAATGATCGCTCACTTGATTTATTCAGTGTGTCTCCAGGGAGACGGAGCACGCGCTAGAATAACGTATGTTAGCTGGTCGATAAACCGATACTTAATCAAACGACCACATGTCTGTGTTGTATTTAAATATGTAGTATGTTTAAATAAGAAAGAATCTATCCTCCGATTTCTATTAGAATATTTTGAATATGCGCTTTCAACTACAAATCGTAATAGGCCCGAGAATTTCAATTACGACTTCAGCTGCGGAGTGCAGTGTTGTTTATTCACATTTTTTAATTTTTAGTGTTGTTTATTCACAAAAATTTCGTCTGTACATAATTATATCTACTTGTGTAGGTACATAAAATGGTATTTGTTTACTGCTAATTACCTAGGCAATTAAATTTCGGCTACCTGGCCTATCTTCAATGTAGTCTATAAATTACTTCATGGCTTATTTGTTCTTATCTTGCATGGTATCAGTGTAATTTCTAATCCTGAATATTGCCTCACCTTCAATGAATAACTGTAGTAATCCTATCGCATAGTAGTTATTGTATGGTAGTTCAAAGCATCCTATTGACAGCTATTCAGCCAACCTGAGGGCAATTATGTTCTATGACATTCGATTGACATGGTTGTTCGTAATTCCTATGTTGTTTTGTCAGCAAAATGATTACACATTTAATTAATGACTTATTGTACAAGTCAAATGTGAATGATGACATAAAAATTTGGCGAGATGTGAGCTTGACAAACTGATTTTTAAATGTCAGCAAATTGATTACACATTTAATTAATGACTTATTGTACTAGTCATATATGAATGATAATATAAAAATTTGGCGAGAGGTGATCTTGACAAACCGATTTTTAAATGTAAGCAAATTGATTACACATTTAATTAATGACTTATTGTACTAGTCAAATGCGAATGATGATATAAAAATTTGGCGAGAGGTGAGCTTGACAAACTGATTTTTAAATGTTAATAGGCAATTTCTTTTGTCTCTCAACGGCCGAGTCAGAGAGGATACGATGAAAATCCCGCTATGAATTTCAATTGGGTAGACCAGGGCCTATACTTTAAAAAAAAGTTAAGAGATCGTAAGTTCATCAGCCAATCATTGACGGCCTTTCAAGCCAAATCCACCAATCATAGACAAGAAAATAGAGCGTAAGTACTTACGTTTACTTAGCAAGTTTCGAAAGTATGGCCCCAGATACGCCGCCCTGCAGCTTTCCCGCAGCTTACAGGTGTACGGCTTGAGCTCTCCAATCCCGTGTATATGGCGAAACGATTTCTTGTACACGTCAATAGTGAAACTGATTTGCTGAGTTGTTGTTGTCACTTGATAATCTTTCTCTTCTATTCAATTATCTTGAATCTCATTCTGTATGGGTTTGCAAGGCTTGCTGTCTTAGCGACAATCAAGACAAATTTTTTACTTAGGCAAGGTTTTGAATGAGGTGCTGATTGCCGTTCCTAAAACATTTGTATGGAAGTATTTTCCGTTGCTACTCAGTTCCAATTTATGTGATTTTATCAATTGAGAATATTGAGAGGTTTTGTTCGCTATGGTACTTTTCTTGATTACTATCGTTATTTAACTCTCCATTATAATTTGTCTTCACTACTACCTTGGTTCATCTCAACCCAACTACTAACTATCCACACAATAACACCACCAGAGGTCAGCAACGCTCGGCATATACCTGCTAAATGAACTAGCCTGACCCGTTCGCCAAAACTCGCATGCATAATAAAGCCTGGGCACCTGCTCGTTGCGAGCAACAGGCTCCAATGTGAGCGCCTAGCCGTGTCCGTGCCTATGAAGTCTTGTGAAATTCGCTGGTCCTTCATATTGTTGCAGCAGCAGACCGAAGCTGGCACTGTATGGACACGATTGCTTCACCACAGTTGCGCTAAGTCGCAAAACTCGAAATAGAATTGTCAGCGGCCAGCTAGGAACCAGAGACTTGTCAGCGGCCACCTAGGAACCAGGGAACTGCCAGCGGCCACCTAGGAACCAGAGACCTGTCAGCGGCCACCTAGGAAC